CTGAGAGGCCGCGGGAGGGGCCGCGGCCAGCAGAGGGGGCGCAGCCAGCTGAAGGGCCGCAGCCAGCTGAGGGGCCGCAGCTAGCTGAGGAGCTGCAGTCAGCTGTGGGGCCGCGGCCAGCCGAGGGGCCCGAGTCCGCGGCTGCGGCCGCGGCGGGCTTGCCGCCGCCTGCGCGGGAGGCGACGCCCGAGGGGCCCGAGTCCGAGGCGAGCGCCGCTGCGACGCCAGCCGAGGGGGCGCTGGCCGAGGAGGCGCCGGCTGAGGGGGCGCCGGCGGAGGAGCCGCGGCCAGCGGAGCAGCTGGGGGGGCCGCGGCTAGCTGAGAAGCCGCAGCCAGCTGAGGTGCCGCAGCCAGCAGAGGAGCTGCAGCCAGCTGAGGAGCCGCAGCCAGCCGAGGGGCGGCCCGAGGAGGGGCCCGCGGCGCAGGACGCGCCATTTGAGGGCATGAGTTTTTCCCCAGATTCCGACGACGAGCTAGCCGCCGCTGAGGGCCCGCAGCAGGAGGAGCAGCCCGCAAATGACGGAGATGTTCAGCCCCGGGCCCAGGTCGGCGGCGATGCAGCAGAGGAGCCAGGTATGAAAGTCGGAGCGTGATGTTAGATATCATCGTTGACCTAGTTAACGTCTTGGCACGCCCCGCGTCCTCGCCGGCGCTTCCACAAACGATGCGATGCATACTGCATGCTGCATGCTGCATAGCATAGCTATGCTGCAAGGAATGCTGCATAGCATCAGCATAGCATATCATAGCAGCATAGCATAGCCATATCAGCATAGTAGCATAGTCCGTGCACAGCTCATGCTGCACGCATAGCCTGCATAGGCATATCTATGTGTATATATCTATATAGATTCGTCTGCTGGCGCTTGAGTAGCGGAAGCACGAAACACACAGCCGGATGTGGCCCAAAATCCCTCGAGGGATGTTGGGCCAATTCCAGCATCACCAACCTAGAGCAGCTTAGGAAAGGGGAATACAAGCTGGCGCAATATTGCGTGCGCGTCAGCTTGGATTCCCCTTTCCTAAGCTGCTCTAGGTTGGCGATGCTGGAATTGGCCCAAAATCCCTCGGCGCGCGCGGGGGCCCGCCCCGACCAAACGTGGTCGGGGCGGGCCCCGCGATAGGCGAGATAGGGGCCCCGTTGCACCTCGACCATACTTGGTCGGAGTCGGCGGTTTCGCTCGGGACATCCTCGCGAAAACCTCCAGGCCTCCTTGAGGTTGTCTCAGAGACATCTCGGGCCCTCTGAGGCCCGTCCGAGGGCCCTCGGAGTGGCCGTGGAGGGCCCCGAGACGGCTCCAAGAGGGCTCCTTGCTTTCGGGCCCTCTTGGGGGCCTCTTGGGGCCGTCTTTGGGCCCTCTGGGGCGCTTCCTAGTCTCGGGGGCTTCTTGGGGTCGTCTTGGGGCGCTCTTGGAGCCGTCTGGGGCCCTCTCTGGAGCCCCGCGCGCTGTGACGTACCCGGGGCCCGTCGCGACGCGAGCCGTTTGAGGTCGCGCCTTCATGTGGCCTTCGGGGGCGCCCTTGGAGCCGTCTTGGGGCCCTCTTGGGGCCCTCTGGGAGATCTCTTTCTCTGGGGGCCTTATGGGGCTTCTCCTGGGGCCTCTTGGGGTCCTCTCGCAGCCCTCTCGGTGCCTCCTGGGGCCTCTTGAAGCCCCGCCTGTGCTTCACCTCTGCCCTAGAGTCTAGAGCCAACTTGCTTAAATAGCTGAAGTCGCCAAATAATGGTGTTCGTTGTTTTGAATTAGTTGCATTGGTTGTCGTGAATTAGTTGTATTAGTTGCCCCGGCAACTTTCGGGCGCCCCGGCAACTTTGGCACCCCGGCCGGCAACTTTACAAGTAATTCAAATAATTCAATGCAACTAATTCAACTAATTCAAACAATTTATTCAACTAATTATTCGTGCCTGAGAGCCATGGTGGAGCCTTCTTGGAGCTGCCTTGGGCTCGCTCGCGGTCCTCCGAGGCCTTCTCAGGGGGATCTCGGAGCCCATGAGATTGCTCCGAAGGGGCCTCTGTGTGAATGCCCACAAGGGGTCCTGGGGGACAGGCAGGAGGCACCTCTTGGGCCCCCCATCATGGCCCCAATCTTGCGGTTTTCTCGGGCCCTTCTTGACCCCCCCCTGAGCTTCCTTGGAGCCTTCTGGGGTTCTTTTGGGGATCTCGAGGTCTCCTGGGACATGCCCGTTGCCCTCGCGGGCCATCTTGGGCCCCGCGACGACGCCATGCGGCCACGCGGCCCGCCCATGGCCCCATGGCCCATGGCCGCGGTGGTTCCGTGGCCCAGGGTCTGCCCCGAGCGGAAAGGAGCCCCCGTCGTGTCCTGCCGCGGAGATAGCCAAGAGGTTGTTGAAGAAGTTGACGCCCGCGCAGCGCATGAAGACATACTCCAACCTCCAGTTCTTGATGGCGCAGGTCGGCGGGGAGATCTCGGTGGGCACTGGGTGCAGCGGCACTGATATCGTCATCTACGTGCTGACTATGTTGCCGACATGTTTCATCGGGAGTTCGGCGCTGACATCAAGGTAACGCACCAGTTTTCGGCAGAGATTGCGGAGTTCAAAAGAAGGTTTTTGATGAGGCATTTTGCCCCCAGCGTCTTGTTCGAAGACATTCGGGATCTCGGTGCGGTCAGCGGTAAGAACGTTTTGACTGGTGGGATGGCTGTGATCGTGCAAGTGTTGCTCTCGTTCTTCGGCGTGGAGTGCGACTCGGTCAGCCTCTTGAACAGGGGCTCGACGCGGTCGAATGGGCGCGTGGCGCAGGGGTCGGGCCGCGCGGGCAGCACGGCTAAAGGTGTCTTCGGGTACGTGGCGCGACGCCGGCCAGGCGTCGTCTTCATCGAGAGCGTCAAGAACCTGAGCGCCCCCAGCCCCTCTGGTGGCAAGACAAACTTGCAGGAGGTGATCAGCCGATTGAACAGGTTCGGCTACGTTGTCCACGCGTCCGTTTTGCAGGCGCAGAAGTACGGCGTACCCCAGAGCAGGGGCAGGTGGTGGGTTGTTGGTTTCTTAGTGTCTGATTCTGCCATCGACCAAGAGACAGAAGGATTCGTGTCCCCGTCTTTCATCTCGGAGATTGTAGCCCTGCTCGAGCAGTTCGAATTCTCGGAGCCTTTGCCGCTGCATGCCTTTTTCGAGTCGCATGGCAAGGGGTGCCCGTGGATGATGGAGTTTGACAGCCAGCCGAAGTCGGCGCCGGCCACGAAGAAGGTAACAGTTGTAAAGGACACGTTCATGGTCGACAACCTCTCGGCCTACCAGGCCGCCAAAATAGATTGGCCGCCGCAGTACGACCCCGAGTTCCTCGATGTCACCAGGCACCTCACAGAGAGGAATAAGCAGAGCATTTGGCATTGGGAACAGATGGCTCATGAACGCCTTGATGAGCTCGTGGGCAATGACCTCACTGTGGGCACCAATTTGAGTACTGATTGGCAGAACGTCCGGGTCGGGGTTACGCCGTGCCTCGTGTCCACGAGCACGATCTGGTTATTGCGCCAGCGAAGGTTGTTGACTGGCGACGAGGCCCTTGCTTTGCAGGGGTTCAGCTTCAAGTTTCTCCAGGAGTGCGACCCCCCTCTGACGTGCAGCGAGAAGATGGATCTAGCTGGAAACGCTTTCAACGGCGCTACTGTGATGTCCTTGTTGTTCGCGATCTTCGTGGCGTGCGATTGGGCCGTCATCCTGCGCCAGATGAAAGCGTTCAACGACCAGGCGATCCCGCGCCCTGCTGCAGGTGCTGCGCAGGCTGCGCAGGACGGCAGCTCCGACGTCGAGAACACGGGCACAGACGTGGAGGACCATGACATGGACTTGGAAGAGGAAGAGGAGAGTTTTGAGCCAGAAGATTGCGATGTCGGTTTCAGCGACAGGGCGAGGCATATGCGGCATGTGCGCGTCGAGCTGCGAGGCCCCAGAGCACCGTGCCACGGGCGTTTCGGTAGGTTATTGCATGGGCCTGCTGCGTGGGCCACATGGGGAGTTTATTCGGCGACGTCCTGGGGGTCCAAGACATTAAACTCATCAGCTCATCAGCTCATCAGCTCTGGGAGCTTCTCAATCAGCTCATCAGCTTGGCACCCTTTCTTCCCTGGTAGCAAAATTAGCAACGGTGATCCGGCATTCTTGCTTCCTTGGAATCCAAGCCATACTGTACCATACTCGAAGCGGTACCTTATCATCCTTGCTTATCTTGCCAATGCTCTGATGTCGAATGAGCTCGAGGGCCTCGCATCCTGGTCATTTTACCGTTGCCATGCGTGCCCGAGCGGTGCGCGGCAGGGTACCGCGCCTCCCCCTTCCTGGACGCGCGCGGGCACAGTCGCCTGCTGCCCCGCGGGACTTCGGCAGCAATGGGCCTCTCGGAGCCCGCTGACGGCAAGGACATAGAGGAGCTCCCCAAGGTCCGAGTCGGGCCGAAACAGCATAGGACGCTGCGCCCGCCAAGGACTCCAGGGTGGAAAATCATTGAATGGCTCAACGGCCCAATGGCCCATGGCCATGGGGGCCATGGCCCATGGCCCAATGGCCCATGGCCCATGGCCCATGGCGGCGCGCGCTCGCCCCTGGGGCCCGAGCGCCCGGACGATTCGCCTGGGGCCGAGCGACTTGCCTCGGAGCTTGGGGGCGAGGGGGAGGTGGGGGATCGCCACGCTGTTCGCCCGACGGTGAGTCGCCGAGTACCCGCTTCCCTCCTCGCTCCTCGCCCTCGGGTGAGACGCTCGGTAATCCCCCATCCATCCCCATCCCTCTTGGGGGGCTCGCGTCCTGGACTTGGGATGTCTCGGGGCGCCCTTGTGGGTCTTGGAGTTTCGGCTGTCCAGGGGCTGACTGAGCTTTTTGGACATATGGCCCATGGGCCCATATGGGCCACAGGCCGCCGCATGGGTCGCCTTGGACTTGGGCTGTCATGGGTCATGGGCGTGGGCCGTCTCGGACTGGGGCTGTCCCGCCAACCCAAAGTTCCGCCCGAAAACATATTTGCGCATCTGGCCCGCAGGATGGCCGGCGACTCGCGATCTCCCGCCAAGAGGAGCAGGAAGGCAAAATCTGAGGCCGCGGACTTCCACTCCCAGGCCAATCGCGCCAACCTCTTTGAGAAGACGCAGAGGCAGCAGAAACCCACCAGAGAGGAACGGCCAACGAAGCCGCGCAACATGTTCTGCGGCAAATGCCAGGGTGACACAGACGAGGAGTATGAGGATATCCTGATGCGGTGGGCCTACGCCGACCTGTCGGGATCGAGGTGCTGGTATTGCGAGCGCGCGTGGTGCACGTGGTGCACGATTTGCCACAAGTACAATGGAGTAGAAGACTTCAGGACGCAGGCGAGGACGATGATTCAGATATTGGAGGGTTTCAAGCAACGGAGGGCCAAATTTCTCGATGACAGGAAGAAGGGCAAGAAGTACATCAAGAGCAAGCGGGACGGCGTCAAGAGGGTCAAGGTGTCCAAGAGGAGGAGCGAGCGGCACGAGCTCAAGGAGGCGCCCGTGCCGTTCTACCCCGACAAGCTTTATGCCAAGAGGTTCGGCGACCCGAACGCACATGAAAATAAGAAGCGAGGCCATAAAGTCAGCGTTTTCAATGGAGTGCGTGGAGTACTCGTCCCTGATGCGGAAGAGGAGCAGCCGATGATGGCAACGCGCATCATAGCCGATTCCCTTGACAAGGAGGACGTGTTGCACGACGGCGGCAGTGAGAGCGGCGCCGACCCCGATGCCGTTGAGCAGCAGTTCGAGGACATCGCCGCTGACATGGCCGAGGGTTTCCATTCTGCCGCGAGCGGCATGATACATGACTGCTTGTTGATGCTGGCGAACAACAAGGCGAGAGAGACGCCGACCAGGAATCGCGACAACGGCAAGGGCGGCGATGGTGCGTCACCCGGTGCTGCTGGTGCCGCTCACGACGCCGACGACGACGCCGCGTCGTCCGCCCCGGGGCCAGCAAGAAGGAGGCGGGCGTTCGGCGTACGTTTGGACTCCGACTCGGCATCGGACAGGCCGCAGCCGAAGCAGAAGAAGCCGCCCAGGGCGAACAAGCAGACCACGCAGAAGCCATCGTCATCTAGGAGGCAGGGGGCAGGGGCCCAGGCTGCCCAGGCCAGCAGGAGGGGCACCCCGCAACAAAAGCCTGCGACCCCTTCGAAGGATGACAAAGGCTCCCAGGCCCCTGGCAAACGTGGCCCGAAGGGATCGGAATGCTACGACGTGGCATCAGAACACTGGGAAAAAATCAAGCTGGCCGATGGGAGTTCGCTGTACTTCGGGAGCAACGACCACGTCATGCAGAGGAGTTTGGAGAGGTACAGCAAGATCGCCACCTCGAAGGCTGCGGCCGAGAACATCGACAAGACTGAGAAGGACAAGCACCTCTTGGCTAATCGGCGCCTCGACGTGATCGGCATGTACATCCGCCTCAACAAGATACGGAAGGGCCAGCCTTCTGCTGCGAAGGGCGCTGCTGCCTTCATCTCACTTTGGGAATCCTTGATGACGTACCTCGCCCACGAGACTTTGCCGCTGCAGGTGGAGTGCGAGCTCATCTGGACTCAGTGCTTCGAGGTTGTCAGCACGGATGCCCAGCGCCTCTGCACCGTCACCCCGATGGCCTCGTGGAAGCAGCTGCGGAGCACCCTCGGCGACGACGACGCGCGCAGGCTGCAGCGGAAGTGCGTGCACGAGGCTTGCGTTTACCAGCTCACCGAATACGGCTCGTCGGAGGAATGCAAGGATGGCCTGGTCGCACTGCTGAGCTCTCTGTCGGACTCCTTGGCCCTGGCTCCGGACCTGAAGATCGAGGTCGAGGCTTTCAAGAACGTCTTGAGTGTTTCGCCGGGCGCTCCTCGTCTCCCTCTCCCCCCTCTGCTGCCTCCCTGCACCCTTTCCCTAGCTGCCCCGCTCCTCCAGCCGCCTCCTCCCGCCACTCACGCCACCCTCGCCCTCCGCGCGAGGAGAAGGTCAACGAGCTGAGGTCCCAGGCGGGCGCGTGCAAGCCAGACGGCGAGGATTTGCTTTCTTGTCTTCTGATGTTCCCGGCCAAGGGAAAGCCTATCCTCAGTGGTGCGCAAGATGCAATCGACCAGCAGGTTGACAACGTGGCGCTGGCCGCCAAGATCGTCGACCTCGTCGAGAAGTTGAGGGGGGCGTCGCGACTCGTCCGCGAAGCCGCCGGACATCACGTGGACGACCCGATGGGCGACTTGACGGCTTTCCCGCAGTCGCTGATGTCGGAGGCCGATTGGATCGGAGAAACGAAGCTCTTTGTCGATGCCAGAGTCGCCTTCGAAGACCAGCTTCCCGACACCCTGAAGTCCTTTGATGAGGCGCTCGCGGTCGCGGCCGAGTCGCGCTCCTACTACCTGACCACCGAGTGGGGCGCCGTGGTGTTGAACCTCTCGGGTGCCGCCAAGTGCGAGTGGGGCGCGACTCTCTGCGGGCAGGTCCGCGAGAAGTGGTCCGCTCGTTTCAAGGGCGCGGGGGCCCCCGGCCGCGGCCGCCCGCCCCAGGGAAAGGGGTCGGTGGGAGTAGGGGCCGCGACTAGGGGGCAGGCACGGCGAGGAGAAGGAGGGGGAGGAGGGGGAGGAGGGGGAGGAGGAGGAGGAGGAGGAGGAGGAGGAGGAGGAGGAGGTGGGAGGGAGGAGACGCGGGCTTCGGATGGAGGACGAGGGAGGAGGAGGGCGGATGAAGGAGACGCGCGACTCAGAAGATGGAGGAGGGTGGGTGGAAAGGAGGGCGCGCGCGCCTCGGAAGAAGGGCGGGCGCAGGAGGAGGGGGAGTAGGAGGAGGAGGGGCAGTTTGAAATGGGCGCAGAAGTAGGGGGATCAGGTGCGGTAGGATGTCCGAGAAGATCGAAGGGTAGGGGGGAGGGGGAGGAGGAGGAGGAGGAGGAGGAGGAGGAGGAGGATTCGGGCCTGTCTGCTTGCGGGTGGCTCTGGAGGATTTGGAGCCGCTCGGCGGGGCGGTTCGATGAGGGGGGGGGAGGAGGAGGAGTGAATGGGAAAGGCATAATGAGGATGATCAGGAGTCGGCATGTGTAGGGAGGACCTCGTGGGCCCGCAAGGGCGGCAGCGGTTTTCGTGAAGTTGCGGTGCGTGATTGGCCCCGCTGGCCCAGTCCCGATTCAGAGCGCGTGCGATTTTTGCTTGAAGTGGTTGGAGTGTTTCGAGAAGACGATCCCAGGTGTCATGGGCCAGGAGGGCTACGAGGTCCCCGAGGCGGACTGCGTGAAAGACCTCGCGATCTCGCTGGACCGGCACACCGAGATGATGGCGCCCGGCATGGAGCGCGAGCACCCGGACGTGCTGACCCAGCGCTTGGCGCAGTTCAGGGAGTGGTGCGAGAGCGAGCTTCGCCCGAAGGTGCGGCCTGGCAAATCCCCCCTCCCCCCCCCCGACGACCGCGACGACGAAGACGATGACAACGGCGACGACGACGACGAGGGCGAGGACGACGACGACGGCGAAGACGACGACGACGACGGCGACGACGACGACGACGACGAAGAGGGCGACGACGAGCCCCCCCTTCCCCCCGCCACGCCGCAGGTCGACACCATCCTCAGCGGCCACGCAGGCGGGGCGGAGGAGGCGCTCACGGAGTTCTGGGTCGTCGCGAAGGACTACGTGCGGGAGAGGTCTTCGGGAAGCGCCCTTTCGGATCGAGAGGGGCAGGCCAAGGAGATCCAGGGTTGGTCTTGGTCGGTCCACATCGAGAAGCTGAAGAGCGCGGCGGTTGGCGACATCCCGCGGATTCGCGTCGACATGGTGGGGCGGGCGCTGGCCGTGACCCAGCGCATGGTCAACGTCGAGCTCCTGAGCAGCATCGCGATGACCAAGGAGCACATCGGCATGGTTAAGGAGTTGGTGATGATGCAGTCCAGCCTGGATCATTGGATTAAGGCCCACAGGGAACGCTTCGTTTATATCAACAACGGCTGGTGGGCCGACGCGTTGTTCGCGGAGATGTGCCTCGACCTCGTTGCCAAGGCTGTCAAGCAGGCTACCGACCAGATCACCGGCCACCTCAAGGACATGGGCGACAGGGTCACCCAGTGCAGCATCACCTCGACGGCCCTCCACAATCCCCAGATGTTGGTGTCCGAGGAGCTGCAGGCAACGCTGTTCAACAACCCCAAGAAGGCAGAGCTCTCAGATGCGGTGGTAGAGCTCGGGGCAGCCATCAACCTCGTGACCACTGACCTGGCGCAGGCCAACAACAAGGCGCTGGACGAGGCGCTCGACAAAGTGAAGAAGAGCCGGAGGCATGGCAAGTCGTGCATCGGAATGGAGTGGGCTTTGAGGAAGCTTCTAAAGGACGCGCCAAAGGAAGTGGCGGAGATCCCAGCGCACATCGACGGGATGAAGAGCAAGCTGAAGAGCAGGGGGTGCATCGTCCCAAACTACATGCAGAAGGCCATGGAGACGATGCGCAAGAAGGCGCTCGGAGGTGGTCCTGCCGCCTGAGGGCGCGAGGGCCATCCATCGCGGATGGCGAGGCTGCGCGGCTGCGCGGCGGCGCGGCTGGCATGGGCCTGGGCCTGCGAGGGGTGATCGGCCCCGGCCCGGCGAGCCCGCGACGGAGCTTCGGCCGCTCTGCTGCGCCTCGGCGGCGGCGGCGCGAGCCAGAGTGGTGGGGGTCAGATCGGCGCGCTTGGGCGCTGCGCGCGGCCCCGCAGACAGAGCCGGGCAGCTGGCGGCTTTCGGATGAGTTGTTATCCTTTCCTTTGCCCCTTCCTTTACCGCTGCGGAGGGCGTCGACGCCCTCTACCCTTCCTTTACCCTTCCTTTACCCTTCCTTATTACCTTTCCTTTATCCTTCCTTTTCCTGCCCTCTACCACTGTCCTGTTCCTGGCCAGGCCGAGTTTGGGCCCAGGATCGTCGCCGGCACCGATCCTTCCTCGATCTTCGTCGTCGTCGTCCTCCTCCTCCGCTATCCTCGTTGTCGTCGTTGTCCTCGTCGTCGTCCTCGTCGTCGTCGTCGTCATCGTCGTCGTCTCCTCCTCGTCGTCCTCGTCGTCGTCCTCGTCGTCTACTCTTCGTCCTCGTCCTCGTCGTCGTCATCGTCATCGTCATCTCCTCCTCGTCGTCGTCCTCGATCCTCGTCGTCGCCCACTCCTCGTCCTCCACGGGTGGTCGGAGTTTCCTGGAGCGTGCCCGGGCTGGGCCAGGCGTTGGACGTTAGATCGCAAACCCAGGGCATGGCCTCGCCAGTTTCGTCGCCATCGCTTTGCGGATCGAGCTCGGGCGGTCGGATTTTGAGCCACGAGCGGGCTCGCACGCCCAGGCGGCGCGTTGTTCGCGGGTGCAGGGGCGCGCGGCAGGCGGCATGCCGCATTGCCGCATGCGCGCCGCGTGCGATAAGGAACGGGGAGAGGGGTGGGGCGGGCGGAGCAAAGGAGGGGAGGGAGGGGGGGGAGGCGATGGAGGGATGGGTTATGGGGGGCAGGGGAGGGAGGGGAGAGCCCACTTTCCCAGCCATTTCAGGTCTCGTTTCTGGGCCTGACCGGCCGAGCGGCCCGGGGTAGACATGGTCGCGGTCCGGGCCCATGCCCATGGCCCTCTGACCAAGGGTGACGATCTGTTTTACAGTTCGAACGTGTATGACGACACGCCCGAGGAGATAGAGGAGAGGAGGAAACTTCAAGCCCAGCGCCTTCGGGAGGATGAGATGAAAAAGCAGAGAGCACGCGAGAAGAACACAATTGTCGTCTATGACTCTGACGACGAGGCTGGCCCGTCACGCCCCACGAAGACGCAGGACAAGCGCGTCGACCTTTTCTGGTGCGAACCTGAGAGCCCTCCCAAGCAGGGGCCCGTTAGGAAGCCCATTAGGCATCGGGGCCGACGCTCGCGCGTGACGGACTCGAACCTCGACCTGGGGCTTGCGGCTATCGGCCGAGGTTGGCCGACAGAGCCCCCGGGGCCCCCAGGTCGTGGGCGCGAGCCCGTTGCCCGCGAGCGTCGGCCCGTTTGAAGCTGTACAAGTATCACCCAGTGAACACGTGGCTTATGACGCGTTCGAAGCTTGCGAAGCTTTCGGCGCCGTAGTTTGAAGTTTGAGTAGTTCGACTTGCGTGGCGAATTGAAGCGGCGATGCCGTCGCTGGGGAAACTCACTGCGTTCTTCGCGCGCCCGGCTCTGGGAAGGGTGACATCGGACCTCGCATAGCCGCATAGTGCATAGCACGATAGCTCGAAGGCTCGACGGCAGGGAGGGCGGAGGAGTAGGGGGAGGGGGAGGAGGAGGAGGAGGAGGAGGAAGAGGAGGAAGAGGAGGAAGGAGGAGGAGGGGGCAGGCAGCAGAGGAGGATGGGGAAGTGGAGGAGTATGCGTCAGTATGAGGATGAGGATCTCGATGCTGGAGTAGGGGGAGGATGAAGATGAAGAGGTGGTGGGGGATCGGGGGGGGGGGGGGTCAGAAGGAAGAGGGCCCGAAGGGCGAGGAGGGATCTCAGGATGGAGGCGGAGAAGGTCGCGATGATCATGACGATGAGGAGGAGGAGGAGGAGGAGCAGGAGGAGGAGGAGGAGGAGGAGGAATGGGAGGGCAGGGTAATGGCGACGATGCCGAGGGGAAGGAGGTAGAGGAGGACGAGGAGGAGGAGGCTACGTGGCCATCTTGCGTCGAACTCATTTCGAGATTCTTTATCTGGCAACATTGTTGGTGTATCTCCGGAGGCCCCTGGTATGTTTGGCCGATTTCTTTCGGCGCCTGGGGGCGATGGTGATCCTCGGTCCGCATGCGTGATCGCAGTATCCGCGGCACGCGTAGTGATTGTTCAAGTTCGTCAGAACATGTGGCTTGTGAGTGTAGTGTATATTGTATATGTAATGTTTTTGCGCTGAGTATTGAGTGGCCCCCAATAATCACGCGCGAGATGTGTCGAATTCGTTGAAGTATACAGTATAATTGAACTATTCGAATTAGTTGAATGAGTTGAATTAGTTGAATTAGTTGAATTAGTTGTGGCGGAAGTTTTCGTTTTTATCGAATTAGCCGAATTCGTCGAATTAGTTGAATTAGCAGTTTCTCGAATTATATGAATTAGTAGTTGGGGCAGCCTGTAGGGGGCATCAGGGCCACTCAGGCAATGGGGCGACCGAGAATGCGGCAGGGCGAGTGGAGTCGCTGCTACGGACGTTGCGCAGGGAGCTGGAGTTCAATATGAGGTTGGAGATCGGTCCGAAGAGCTTGGTTATGCCACAGTTGGTCTGGCGCGCGGGGTTTTCACGCACCACGTTCGCGACCAAGACGGATGGCTGAACAGCTCGGGAAATATTGTGGCGAGCGAAGCACGAACCAGAGCTGGGGGAGATAGGCGAGACGATCGATGGCAATGCCCAGGCGAAGGATTACTCCGAGCTGGAGCCGCGGTGGAGCGAAGGCATCTTCGCGGGGGGGCGCGAGGGGGGCGACGAGGCCATCGCAGGGGCGGCGCGAGGGGTCGAGCGCGCCAGGGCGATGAAGCTGAGGAGCGCCGAGGACAAGTGCAACGCGGAGGCGTGCACTGCGTTCACCGAAGTGCCGCGGGATCCCAGAGGCCTGGAGGTGGAGGTCCAGAACGAGGTAGCACGGCGGAGACGGCGCGCGACGAAGACGCTCGTCGAGGAGCATGGGTCTACTGATGGGCGCGCAGCTTGCGATGGGGAATTCGGCGATGCACCACTGGGTGCAGGGCGAGGTTCGCGAGGATCTTCGACGAGGCCGAGCCCGGGATCGAGATGGCAGCCCCGGCGGGAGGGGCTCAACCAGAAGGAGGCGCAGCGCCGGCAGCACCAGTAGCAGGGCCACCAGCAGCAGCAGCCCGAGCCCTGGAACCCCGACTGGAGGAAGCTGGACAGCGAGCACCAGGCAAGCCGGTAGGACACCATTTCGGAGGAGAAGAACCTATCGAGCTGGACGTGGAGATGACGGGCAACGCGATCATCGCAAGAAGAGACGTGGCACCGCTTACGCCCACGAAGAATGACGTTATGGATGTAGGCATCCTGATGCCGATCACGAAGGAGGAGGATCGCCACGTCTGCGAACAAAAATCGAGCCGAGGGTGAATTATGATAAGCTGGTGGGGCACGGGGTTTACAGGGGCGCGTGCGCCGGCGAGGAGTTGCCGAAGGATCATCTGGTTACCAACGGAAGGGCCAAGGAGATGAAGGGCACGGAGGAATTCGAGGTCGGCGAATGGGCGCCGCGCGAGGACAGGATGAAGCTGTCTGACGCCAAATCAATCGATGGCGAGATGTATGACCTACAGAACAACGAGAGGATCGTGAGGGGCCGCTGCTTTCGTAGGAGGCGCAGCGATGGAACCGACCCCCCGCGAATTTCGCAGGGGCACCCGCAGCGTGGGCAGTGGCGCTGGCGGTATCAAGGGCAGTTTCTGCGAAGCCGGAGGTGCAGAGGAGGAAGAAGCTCGGGCTCTACGACACACCGGTATATATATATATAAATAATAATAATAATAAACGTCGCTGAAGGGGCCGCGGTATTGATGTCCACCACCAGAACAACGACGACCAGGGATGCTATGGAAGTTGCAGAAGGCTATGTACGGGGTCCCCGAGGCATCAGTGCAATTGCATGGAGAAGGTCGAGACAGCTTTGACATGCGCGGGCATCAGGAGTTGAAGACGGTACGCTGTCCGTACTACACCCCGATCATTGACTCTCTATGTGCAGGACATGGGGATCATTTCTTGGTGGGGGCCTGCGACGAGGAGCTGGGCGCTTTCGACGAGATTTGGGCGAGTCGTTTCAAGGTCAAGCCCCATCCGCGGGTGGGGCCTGGAGGATATGCAGAAGGTCCGTTTCTCAACGGGGCGGTTCTTTGGGGCGAGGGGGGCTGCGGCGTTCTGCCAGGCCCGAAACTGATATTGAAGATGGTGGAGCTTTGCGGTTTGAAGCGAGCCAAGCCGGCTGAGACGCCGAGTTCGAAGCGCGCGGCGAAGGGGGTTCGAGCAGCAGAAGATCCAGCACCACGTCCGCTTTGAGTGGTCTGCCGCAGTTGCGGAGGGATTGCCCAGTGCTTGGCAGGGGGCATATAGGATATCCAGGAAGCCGTTCGAGAGCAGAGTTGTTCATGCAATGGCCCGCGGGCGAAGCACATCCTGAAGCGGGAGCGCTTGGTCGGGGACCTGGAGGGGGCCCCTGGCATCGCGATCTGCCACCCATGCGAGGAGGGGAATTTCAGGCGAAGGTTTCGGTGGATGCTGACTGGGCAGGACTGCGGGCGACGCGCAAGAGCGCCCCATCAGGGAGGGGCGGCTGGGGGCTCACCCACTGGAGAGTCGGACTCTATCGCAGGCGACGGTGGTGTTATCGAGCGGGGAGTCGGAGTTCTGCGCCATGGGCTCAGCAACTGTCAGGGGTCTCAAGGTCAAGCTCGCGCTGCAGGAGATAGCCGAGATGGGGGAGGGGCAGATCAAGATAACCCTGGAGTTGGAGCGGGCTCAGCGGCGGCGAGG